CACTGCACTCCAGTCTGGGTGACAGAGTGAGACTCCAACTCAAAAAAACAACAAAAAAAAACATGGTATTCAGTTGATCCCAGTATTTATTTATTTATTTACTTATTTTGAGAGTAACAGCTACTTTGATCCCAGTTTTGAAAAAGAAAGTGTCCATAAAGGCTATACCCTCAAAATATTAACAGTAGTTATGTTAATAACTAGATGGAATTAAAGGTGCCTGTAGGTCTTTCTCTCTTTCTTCCTTCCTTTCTTTTTTCCTTCATTCTCTTTTTTTGATTTGGAGTCTCACTCTGTTACCCAGGCTGGAGGACAGTGGCATGCTCACTGCCACTGCAGCCTCGACCTGCTGGGCTCAGGCGATCCTCCCACCTCAGTCTTTCAAGTAGCTAGAACCACAGGCATGTGCCACCATGATAATTTTTTGATTTATTGTAGAGACAAGGTCTCACCAAGTTGCCCAGGTTGATCTTGGACCTCTGGGCTCAGGCAATCCCCTGCCTCCCTCGGTGCTGGGATTACAGGTGTAAGCCATTGTGCCTGCCCTTTCTCTCTTCTTTTACTTATCTGTATTTTCTAAATAGTCAACAATGGATGACTTCACTAATGGAAAACATTTGCTAAAACTATACAGAAATGGGAAAGCTAATTATTACTTTAAATATGTAGCTTATTTGCTTGCCAGAGAGAATTCTTTCAAAATGGGAGGAAAAAATAATCCCCATATTTTTCCCCCTAGGAGGAAAAATAATCACTGGCATAAAAGTTGGGAGCCCCCACCAGGATTCCAGGGCCTGTCAGGCTGCAAGGGACAGTTACTTGGAGGGTATAGCAGTACTCACAGCCAGTTTCTCCTTGACCACGCTGGCCGTGGCTGCGATGGTACAGGCTGTGTCATGCTGCACAACCTGGGTAAACTCTGTTAGGTCCCGCTTCATGAACTCCAAGGCTTCAGAGGACTATGGGAAGACAGAGAGGGATGGATGTCAGGTTAGTTGGCCCACTATCCCTTGTTCCTGTGCTTTTGTACCAGACAGACATATGGAAATCTCAAGGGGTTTAAGGAGTCTGGGCTCAGAAACAATGCTTACTTGTTCAATTCCATGACTTTGGATTACCTGACAGCAGAGAGCATAGGGGAACTCCTATTACTCTGAGCACAAAAACTGAATCTCAGCCCAGGTACACACAGGCTATATGGCTATTAGTAAGGCTCATTTAGTCCTCAGCTGTCTCCTATAAAATAAGGGAGATGGCCTAGATCAATGATTCTCAAGGGCAAATGGAGAGGGGCACATATAGTCCGAAAACAAAACAGACTTTGATGAATTCCTCTGATATACTTTAAATCATATTTGTTTCAAAATTTAAATAACATAAAGAAAAGGTGTGTAATTTTCTTTTACCAAAGGAAAGTGTTTCTATTTTCACTTTTTGTATTGTAGGAAAACCAAGTTGAAATACGAGGCAGGGGCTGGGCTCGGTGGCTCAGCCTATAATCCCGAGCTTTGGGAGGCCAAGGTGAGTGGATTGCCTGAGCCCGCGGGTTCGAAATCTGCCTGGGCAACTTGGCGAGACCTCATCTCTACAATAAATCAAAAATTAGCCGGGTGTGGTAGTGTGCGCCTGTAGTTTCAGCTACTTGGAAGGCTGAGGTAGAAGGATCGCTGGAGCCCAGCAGGCCGAGGCTGCAGTGGCTGGAGCGGCCACTGCACTCCAGTCTGGGTGACAGAGAGAGACTTCAACTCAAAAAAAAAAAAGAAATATGAGGCAGTATGTGAAATAATTTGTAACTTTGTAATTATTAAATTAGAAAATATGTTGTATTCGTTACAATAATAGCTTGAAAAGCTTTTATGAAAATTCCTAACAAGTTAGTATCAGTAAAAAGGTATGTGACTTTCACATTCAACAAAGTGAGAAGGGCTCAAGAGAAATACTAGATGGATTTTTTCAGAGGCTTTCTTGGTTCCATCATTCCAGGGTTCGATTTAGTCTAAAAGCTCCTTTGGGCAGAACTGACACTGCTCCCGTCAAACCCACCTGCTTTTCACCCTGCAGCCAGCTTGAGTCAGCAGGCCCTCAGCTCTCTCCTCCGTCCTGCCCCTTTTTTTTTTTTTTTTTTTTTTGACCATTACAAAAGTTTATTTAACAAAAAGTTTAATATGAAAATGTACATGACCCAATTTTTACATCAAAGTAAAACAGGTCCTTGGGAGAAAAGACATGGACTTCTTTGCTGAAAAGTCATTTATACTCGTTCCAAGGCTTCTAACATGATAATACTATTTCCTCGTATTACCACCATGCCAGTATTGTTCTGTTGTCCACTAGTTGCCATCTCCACACATTCATCTATCACAAGATTCATAAAGGGGTCAAATCCCCGTAATATTCCTTGGACATGTCCGCCACCATTTAGTTTCAATGATAACTTCTTGTCCATAAATTTTTTCAACTCGGGAGGATGTGCCTTGCTCATGGCGTCGGCTCCGTGGGCTCAGACATCTTTTTTTTTTTTTTTTTTTTGAGTCAGAGTCTCACTCTTGTTACCCAGGCTGGATAGAGTGCTGTGGCACGCTCATGGCCATCGCAGCCTCAACCTACTGGGTTCAGGTAATCCTTCCACTTCAGCCTTCCAAGTAGTAGGAACTAAAGGCACGTGCCACCACACCTGGCTAATATTTTGATTTATTGTATAACAACGTCTCTTGCCATGTTGTCCAGGCTGTTCTTGAACCCGTCAACTCAGGCAATCCTCTCGCCTCCACCAGTGTTGAGATCACAGGTGTGAGTCCCTGTACCAGTCCTGTCTTGTTTCACACTTACTGACTCTAGGCTGCCTTCCTGGACTATCTCTGTGCACATCCTCTCATTTTACATAGGGATAATCACCTGCATTTTTTTTGAGTCGGAGTCTCACTCTGTCACCCGGGGTGGAGTGCAGTAGCATGCTCCTGGCCACCGCAGCCTCAACCTGCTGGGCTCAGGAGATCCTTTCACCTCAGCCTTCTAAGTAACTGGAACTACTATAGGCACATGCCACCAAGCCCGGCTAATTTTTTGATTTATTGTAGAGATGAGGTCTCACCAAGTTGCC